TGTTAGGGGTAGAGACGGGGCCGACGCGGGCTGTCAGGGGTAGGGACGGGGCCGACGCGGGCCTCTAGGGGTAGGGACGGGGGCCGACGCGGGCCTCTAGGGGTAGGATCGGGGCCGTCGCGGGCCTCTAGGGGTAGGGACGGGGCCGTCGCGGGCCTCTAGGGGTAAGGACGGGGCCGTCGCGGGCCTCTAGGGGTAGGCTCGGGGCCGACGCGGGCCTCTAGGGTAGGCGCGGGGCCGACGCGGGCCTCTAGGGGACGAGCTCGGGGCCGACGCGGGCCGTTAGGGTTAGGCGCGGGGCCGATTCGGGGCCTCTAGGTGCAACAACGCGGGGCCTACAGGGCCTCTAGAGGCGTGAACGTCGAGGCGCCCTAGGGCAGGTAGGCAGATAGGCAGGTAGGTAGTGGTGGGCCCTTAGGAAAAACGGTCCTGGGAAGGACCTGCTCTATACCATGTTGAACAAGGAATGAAATGACTAAGAATGAAATGAGTACAAATATGGAAACCTAGAAGTGTGTACCCCCTATAGGCTAACCCACTGTAGCCTAAACAACTACAACAATATATAAGGTTTGACATGTCGACGTGCTAACCATGCTGTGCAAGGAATGAAGTGGAAAGGTGAGTATGGAGTGCGTATTGTCTTGATCGGTTTAAAATTTTTTGTGTGCAGATCCGTATTCTCCTACATAATATGGCGCTCTCATTATTGCGCTACCTTTAACCTGACTCTCATATTTCGTAGACATGGCCCGTTCTAAACATGTATATGGCCGTATTCTACCGCGGCTGATAAGTAAGTACAGTAGCTGCATTTTCTATCACTTCCTTTTTGTGCTGCTCTTGCGCCTTTCGATGTCTACTACTAATTCGTATTCTCCTGACTAAGATCTGTTTTTGCAGGTACCATGGCTAAGAGGGAAAAAACTAACCTGCCTTTGTTGACATTTGATGTTTCTGGTTTTCCGTGTGTGTTCAGAACTCCAGGCTCAAGTGGTTGAAAGGGCAGCAATGTTTGCTTCTGCTGAAGTACCTTCAGTTATATTATGTAGTTGTGCCAGATCATGTTGATTATGGTGTTAGTGCAAATAGTCAGGTCTGATGTATCGAAATTTATATTTATAAAAATCTAAATTTCTTCATACCTAACTAACAATTTTTCACAAATTGTATTGCATGCGCCCATATGCGTCTCAAAATCTGATTGGTCCACGTGGCAATTTCCGGTCCACTATTCACCTTGACAGCTGGCAAGAAATATCTTCATACGTGGCGTTCAGGCGTCCACGTGGCGTAGGGGTGCAAAAATCGACTTAAAGCCCAAGATTTTCAGACAAATGTCACTTCTGATGTCACCTGTTCGATGTGTTTCGAGTAGCGATATGGCCGTTTTTCCAAAGCTTTGTCGTCACTTTTCCGCAACTTCGAAGTCACCCCGCCACAGAAGCCTTTGACCTAGACTTTTTTTCTTCGAACCAAAGTTGCGTGCCAGCAACTTTGAAGTTGCTGGCACGCAACTTTTCAGGCCTTGGATTTTCGCGATGCGGCGCGCTGTTTCGTCGCAACGCTCGGTCTGCTCCTTGTGACTTACCACTCTTTCAAGTCCTCTGCCACGCGGCACTCGCCTACCAAGTCACGCGCATTACTAGCGGCGCATTCCCGCCCGTTCGATGCTTTTGAGTCGACTCAAAACTCACCTCTTTCAAATCCTCCTACGAGGCACTCGCCTACTAAGCGTGTATTAGCGGCGCATTCCCGCCCGTCCGATGCTACAAATCGTTCGACGACTGTTTACGAGCAGGGATTTGCGGCCCTGCACTCGTTTCAGCGACAAAATCGACTGCGCCTCGCGAAAATTGCGACGTTTAACTTCGATGCGAATGTTACAAGTCGTGAGTTTTCAGGTTACGGCTTCTCGCGCTACGAGTTTCTCGAGTTACCCGTTCCGTCTGTCCCCGAGAATCTGACGTGGAGCAACGCATACCCCGTATGGGTGAACGAGTCCCGCTCATCCTGCCCGGAAATTCCAGAGCCGGAAAGACCGAATTGGCTGGGCGACGTCGACGCAAATGTCGCACACGTACCCTGCGACGAGACGAAAGATTCCTGGGCAAAGGATATTCGATGGCAACAGCAGCTCCTAACGATCGTAGGCTTCGTCATCAGCGTAAGAAGTGTCGACATGCTTTGCGATAGGTACTTTAGAAGAAAGAAGAAACAAGGTCCTTCCATGTTGAAACTCTCCCCGTCGCTTCACCCGCTCTCCATTTACTGCTATCACTCTCCTCTTCATACTATTCCCTTCCCCTTATCGCTCTTGTAACAGGCAAATCGGCCGTGGTTACCAGTGGTGTTACTCTCCGCCTGCCGCCCGCCGCCTAACCTCTTCCACTGCTCGCGACTCGTGACGCGGGAGGGTGACACGTGGCTCTACAACCTGACGACCAATGACATGCTCACACGTGTACAGCCCCTGGGATCATGTGCCATGGCTCAGTCAATCCGAAGCAATGTGTCAGCTAGCACGACACGATTGCAACGCATTTAGCACATTAAGTTTTTTACTTTACATGCATCCGACTATTCACCCTTCTAAACTCCCCTCCTTTCCTTCTCCCCCCATCTCAGCCAACCAGCGCGTCGTGTATGCTACACTCATCGGAGCGGTATGTGTGTGGCGCAATAGTACTGGGGCATAGCATAAGGAGGACGGGGAGCAGTCACGAGATGGTTGTGCTTGTATCGAAGGAGATCAAAGAGGAGAGCAGGCGAGGGCTGAGAGGGGCGGGGTGGACGGTGAAGGAGATTGAGAGGATTCGCAACCCCAACGCACGCGATGGGAGTTATAACGAATGGAATTACAGGTTTGTGTGCTCATATCGAGTGGAGGTAGGTGTGTGTGTGTGTGTGTGTGTGTGTGTGTGTGTGTGTGTGTGTGTGTGTGTGTGTGTGTGTGTGTGTGTGTGTGTGTGTGTGTGTGTGTGTGTGTGTGTGTGTGTGTTGGCTTTGTCGACTTTTTGATTATGAATATGTTCATTCATCCCATCAATTCTGCTACTACAAGCTGTCACAGTCTTTGTTGGGTTTATTAACTCAATCTGACATCTGCTGACTCGCTTTGACTTATTCACTCCTCTTGACCCCACCCGCCCCCACCACCTCCAGCAAGCTGCGGCTGTGGCAGCAGACGGAGTACGCCAAGCTGCTCCTTATTGACTCTCGTTGACTCCATTAACCCCCTACGCCCCCCTCCCCCCCACCAGCAAGCTGCGGCTGTGGCAGCAGGCGGAGTACACCAAGCTGGTCTTCATTGACTCGGACCTGCTCCTCTTGAACAGCGTTGACTTTCTCTTCTCCTACCCCGAGATCTCCGCCCGCGGAAACGACGGCTCAGATTTCAACCCGGGCGTGATGGTCCTGGAGCCGTCAAATTGCACGTTTGAGGTGCTGATGGAGAACCTGAGGAGAGTGCGATCGGCAAACGGAGGGGACCAGGTGAGTGAGACCATGTGTGATGTGATGTGATGCGATGCGATGCGATGCGATGCAATGCAATGTGATGTGATGTGATGTCTTACGCCGCGTGCACTCTCCTTCTCCATTCCTTTCCCTAAACCACATGGTTCCATTCAACCTCCTGTCGCCTTTTATATCTAGCTCACCACTTATCCTCTTCCCCCCATCACCACTTCCCCTCTTCCCTTTCCCACCTTCCCTCCCCCCTCCCCAGGGCTTCTTGAACAATGTCTTCACCTGGTGGCACCGCTTACCAGAGTCCATAAACACCCTCAAACCCGTCTGGACCTCTGACCCTGTGAAGAAACAAGCGATCATCGACATGAAGAGCAGGTTGTTCTTACAAGACCCTTCGGAGATTCACGCAATACACTACCTTGGCATGAAGCCATGGTGGTGTTACCGTGAATTTGATTGCAACGTGCTGATACCCGATTTTGTCGACTTTGCTAATGAGGCGGCTCATAATAGGTGGTGGAGTGCACATGATTCGCTGCCACAGCCACTAAAGCAATTCTGCTGGATTACAAGTGAAGCAGAGGATAAGCTGACACGGCTGATTGAACAATCCAAGCCAACTCAGGCGCTTTAATTAGCCTAATTTATTAGGTTAGGTTCTGACTAGGCATTTTATGTGTCATGTGCACTTGTGCTAGGTAGTATGTAGTCTATAGAAGGGGTATTTTTTCGTCAGGATGGCATCACTCCGCCTTTGCAAGATATAGCCTAACAAGTTGTTGATTTGTGTATTCATATAATAGGTGTATCAAGAGATAATAGACTAAAGACATAGATACGATATTATAGCCGGTTATGGTACGGTATATGAAGTGAACAAGTGATACGTAGCTCAACAGTACTGGTGTTACTGCTATCACAACAACGAAACACTGTGCTGCGTGTTGTTTCTTAGCTGACAACAACAACACACTCTGCCAAGTAAAACTATTGTGAAACTGAACGCCTTATAAATGGTGCTACTAGATCAGCTCACCCCCCTCATCAGGGAACGTCATCATCAGACTTAGCCTGTCTCCACCATTGCCCGACATCCCATGCTGCCCTGCTGCCCACCCTCCATACATCCCCCCACGCTGCCGAATATGGTGCAACCCACCCCTCTTTTCATCAAGGAAAGTCATAATCAGACTGAGCCTGTCCCCACCTCTGCCCGACAACCCCACACTGCCACCCCCCCGCACAACCCTACCCCACCCTGTTGCTTGTGCTGCCAAGCGGCCATTCGCTCCGTCATCCTACACCTCCCCTCCCAGTCCCCCCCCTCTCCATCTGTCTACCCGTCTTCCCCTCTCCCCCCCACCCATTCCCACAAACTCTTCTCTCCTTTCATCTGAGATTCAGCTCACGCAATGTAACATTTTCACTGAATGTCAACACTACTCTGAACCCTCTCTGTCTCCCTATCAACCCATCCCCACCACCCCAGTAGACGGTGTCACCCATCCTAACCGAACCCTACCCTTTCACCGGGGATTCACGTCTCTTTTATGCACACTCCCACTGAACGTCATTGTCGGACTCAACCCATCCCCACCGCTGCTCGACGTCCCACCCTTCCCTCCTTGCAGCTTCATTCGCTCCTCATACCACGAAACCTCCTCATCCTCATCCTCCTCACCCCAATCCTCCCTTGCAGCCCCTCCTGACGCCGCTGCAGCTATTTCCTTCCAGAACCTGTCACTCGTTTGTGACTTGGACGCACACACAGGCTCCCCTTCCATATTGTACCCTTCGCCATTCTCACGCGTGTCACTATCACCACCACCAACATCAGCAACACCGGTAGCAGCAGCACCACCAGGAGCAGCAAAGCCACCAGCATCACCAGCACCAGCAGCACGGGAAGCAGAAACCCAGTTCAACCGCCTCTTAATCCCTTCCAACTCCTTCAAAACCTGCTGCATGTCAGGTCGGTTCTGAACCTGCTTCAAGCTACACCGCATTGCCAGCCGCACAAACCACTCAAACGTTTCCTCCAAGGCCTCACTCCCACACGTCTCCTCCATTGCCTTCCCCTCACTCATCCCCACCTTTCCACCTCCCCCACCACCTCTCCCTTCCCCTCCGCCCTCTGTTCCCCCTTCTCCTCCCCCCCTTCCCCCCCCTGCTCCCCCCCCTGCTCCTCCACCCACTGCTCCCCCCTACCCGCTCCCCTTCTCCCACATGGCTTTCAGAACCGGGTCCATGACACTGTTCACGCCGCCCTCGTTGGTAGCCCTATCGATCACAATCCGTCTGATGTGCTCCCCGTCGGTCACCGGGCGGAGGCCAGTGGCGAGCTCTAGCAGCACGATGCCGAAGCTGTAGACGTCGCTCTTCTCAGTTAGCAGGTCGCTCTGGAAATATTGTGGGTCCAAATAGCCCTGAGGAAGAGTAAAAGGGGGCAAGAAGGGGGAGAGGAGCATGAGGAGCGGAGGCCAGTGGCGAGCTCTAGCAGCACGATTCCAAAGCTGTAGACGTCGCTCTTCTCAGTTAGCAGGTCAGACTGGAAGTAACGCGGGTCCTGATAGCCCTGGTGGAGGATTAACGGTGACAAGACAAAGGGGGAGAGGAGCATGAGGGGCGGAGGCCGGTGGCCAGCTCTAGCGACACGATGCCAAAGCTGTACACGTCACTCTTCTCTGTGAATAAATCGCACTGGAAGTACTGCAGATCCAAATAGCCCTGTGGGAAGGGGAAAGGGGTGGTGGGGGTTGGGTTGATACGCAATATCAATACGTGATACCTCGATGTGTGGATAGATGGCATGGTAACCCTATGGATCACAATCCTTTAAATCTGCTCTCCGTTGCTCACCAGGCGAAGGCCAGTGGCCAGCTCTAACAGCAAGATCCCCTCCCCCCTCAACCTCCCCCCATTCCACTCACCACAGTGCCCTTCACTTGTGTGATAAGTCGACTCTTGAGTCAACTAAAAAAAGCGACTTATCACACTCACCAGGCGGAGGCCAGTGGCCAGCTCTAACAGCAAGATCCCCTCCCCCCTCAACCTCCCCCCATTCCACTCACCACCGTGCCTTTCACTTGCGTCTCCAGCCTCCCCCCGCCCTCCGCCTCCTCAGGCACAGCCTTGGAAATACCAAAGTCGGCCACCTTGGCCTCGAGGCCTGCTGTGATGAGGATGTTGGCCGTCTGGAGAAGAAAGGTTGGGGGAGGGGGGTGGGAAGGAGTCAGGGAAGCATGCATGCGTTTAGACTTGGAAATACCAAAGTCAGCCACCTTGGCCTCGAGATCTGCTGTGATTAGGATGTTGGCCGTCTGGTGTGGGAGGAGGAGGGGAAATGGCAGGGGACAGGAGGAAAGGGGAATGGGGCAGGGAAAAGGGAGCATATGCGTTCAGCCTTGGAGATTCCAAAGTCGGACACCTTTGGAATGACACGCGCAAGTAAGAGGGAGGAAGGGGAAGAGGGATGGGGGGATAATGGGTGGCTTGATTTGATGGTGCAGGTAGTATTACTCCACTTGCATTGCCTGCACATGTCCAACAAGCTGACTCTTGAGTCGACTCAAAAGTCTGCATTGCGTGCACATGTCCAACGCACATGAGCATGCAAACACGCATCTTGCTGCAGCGCACACGCAATTCCACAGGCCACGCCATAGGTAATGCAAGCTTGAATGCGAACATATGGAATGCACACGTCTCACACACACGACACGCGCATGCATGCACGCATGCATGCACGCATGTATGCACGCATGTATGCACGCATGTATGCACACATGTATGCACGCATGTATGCATGTATGCCGCATGTATGCATGTATGTATGCATGTATGCCGCATGTACGCATGTATGTATGCATGTATGTTCCCACCAGACTCACCTTGACATCGCGGTGGATAATAGGGGGCTTGATCTGATGGTGCAGGTACGCAAACCCACTGGCTGCCCCACATGCAATGTTGACTCGCTGCCGCCATGTCAACTGGTGCTTTGAGTTGGCTGTTGGTTTCGCAAAGAGGGGGAGCGGGGAGAAGAGGAGAACAAAAGGGGGCTTCTAAGACGAGGAGAAGAGGGAGGGAGAGGCTTCTAAGACGTCTCAGAAACCCACGACTGGAGGCTCAAACCCTTCTCTGTCCGAAAAATCAGGAGAGTCAAGTCAATACTCGTGGGGACCCACGACTGGAGGTTCAATACTCGTGGGGATTACTTTATTAGGGGGGCAGGAAGCTGCGGGGGACGAATGCAATCAACGCTATGGCACCGGGGGATTACTTTACTAGTGGGGCAGGAGGCAGTGGGGGACGAATGCAATCAACGCTATGGCACCTTGGGATTACTTTACTAGTGACTGCGATGGTGAGCTGCCCTCTCCCTGCTGCATATGAGGTGACTTTTGAGCCGACTCAAAAGGCACCTCGTTACAACAATGCCACTAGGGACTACGATGGTGAGCTGCCCTCTCCCTGCTGCACCAGGTGGCATCAACACAACGGCAGCTGATACATACGATCACCACACCAGTTCTATTCACCTCGCAGCATATCTTCCAGCGTCCCCCAATGAATTCATACACCAGCAGCTGCCCGCCCGCCTCCACACAGAAGAAGCCATTGAGAGCACTCACCATCAGGTGGTATCATCCCCTCCCTCCACCCTTCCTCTTCAGTGCTCCAATACCCCAATGAATTCATACACCAGCACCTGGGAGAGGCACGCTAGAAGATATTCCTTAGTGCTCCAATACCCTTGCCACATACCTCGCAGCATATCTTCCAGCGACTTTTGAGGCGCCTCAAAAGCCCTTGCCACATACTACTTTTGAGCGTGCCAATACCCTAGTGCTCCAATACTAGTGCTCCAATACTACCTTAGTGCTCCAATACTAGTGCTCCAATACCCTTGCCACATACCTCGCAACATATCTTCCAGCGACTTTTGAGGCGCCTCAAAAGCCCTTGCCACATACTACTTTTGAGCGTGCCAATACCCTAGTGCTCCAATACTACCTTAGTGTTCCAATAATAGTGCTCCAATACCCTTGCCACATACCTCGCAGCATATCTTCCAGCGTGCCTCTCTCAATGAATTCATACACCAGCACCGGCTCCACACTCAAGCCCCCACTTGATTCCACGGATCATTCCCCCTAGTCCTTCATTCCCCCTAGTCCTTTACTGCCACTTGATACTCACGTCTCAGCATATCCGTTAACGTGTCTCTCTCGATACATTCTTACACCAGCAGCTGCTCGTGTGCCTCCACACTCAAGCCCTACAGGTCACCGATCATCCCCCCCCCCTGTCCTTTACTTCACACCCCCTTGATACTCACGTCTCAGCATATCCTCCAACGTCCCTCGCTCGATGAACTCATGCACCAGCAGCTGCTCGCCCGCCTCCACACAGAACCCTTTCAGAGAGCCGCCGGGACGCATTAACGCTACATCCGATACCACTTGCACATGTACCTCTCAGCATGTCTTCCAAGGTGCCCCTCTCGATGAACTCATACACCAGCAGCTGCTCGCCCGCCTCCACACAGTGCTGAGAGAAGCTGGATCGGTTTCAGCCGCAACTGATCTTTCATGAACCCTACTCGGGCAGACGAGCTGCTGACGTGTCAGCATCCATAGGAGACGTCTGGTCTAGACACCTCTTGAAAAAAGGAGTGTTTTGAGACGTCTCAAAAAAGGAGTGTTTTGAGACGTCTAAAAAAAGGAGTGTTTTGAGACGTCTCAAAAAATGAGTGTTTTGAGACGTCTAAAAAAAGGAGTGTTTTGAGACGTCTAAAAAAAGGAGTGTTTTGAGACGTCTCAAAAAAGGAGTGTTTTGAGACGTCTAAAAAAAGGAGTGTTTTGAGACGTCTCAAAAAAGGAGTGTTTTGAGACGTCTAAAAAAAGGAGTGTTTTGAGACGCCTCAAAAAAGGAGTGTTTTGAGACGTCTCAAGAAAGGAGTGTTTTGAAACGTCTAAAAAAATGAGTGTTTTGAGACGTCTCAAAAAAGGAGTGTTTTGAGACGTCTCAAAACACTCCTTTTTTCACGTGTCAGCATCCATAGGAGACGTCTGGTCTAGACACCTAAACAATCAACGTCGCTTTGAGTACATCACTGGCTCACATGGAAAATCATCGGATGATCTACCTGACGATTCATCATCCACCTGAAAATCCACCTGACGATTCATCATCCACCTAAAGGGTCGCCTGAGAGTGCTCCTGGCTTACCTTCACATGCCCCTTGGCTCGTTTCACTGCCACCACCTCTCCATTTTTTAGCACTCCTCGGTACACCTGAGGATGGTTCAAATTCGAGGAGCAGAGAAGTGGGGAGAGAAAAAGGGTGTGGTGAGCAGAGACGTGAGGAAAGGCATGGTCAAAACTTTACCATATCCCAACTGTGTAGGAGAGGTACACCTGCCCCATACTCCGCCCCCTCACAGATGTACCCGGCCCATGCTCCACCCCTTCACAGATATACCTGTCCGTATCCGCCCTCCCCCAGCGGCGTCTTGAACCCCTGGGTGGCGTCGGCTATCTCCTTCAGCTTGCACCGGTGCACCCCCAGAGCCTGCAGCCCCTCTATTGCTTTGTAGTCTTCAGAACTCCACAGGTCTGATCATGGCGGAATGGGGAGGGGTGAGGAGAAGTTGGGAGGGGTGGAGAAGTGTGAGGATGGGTGGGGATAGGTGGAGAGCACTTATTGCCTCAGACTGAGCGGCACCAGTGACCAGCGCCTGCAGCCCCTCGATTGCTTCGTGGTCTTCCGAACTCCACAGGTCTGAAAGTTCAAGAGAACACAGAGGTGGGAAGCGATGGAAAGTGGTGAAGATGGGTGGGGAAGGTTGGGGAGGGGTGAGGAGGGATGGGAAGGTGTGGGTAGCACATATGAACTCAGCTTGCACCAGTGCACGCCCAGCGCCTGCAGCCCCTCTATCGCCTTAGAGTCTTCCGAGCTCCACAGGTCTGATCATGAAGGAAATGGCGCGATGGGTGGGAGGAAGGGCGCGATGCTAGGTGGAAGGGGGCGGGGCGTGCTGGGGGGAGCGACTTTTGAGAATTCTCAAAAGGGGCGGGGCGTGCTAGGGGGAGCGGTAGGTGGAAATCTCCTTGAGCTTGCACCAGTGCACTCCCAGCGCCTGCAGCCCCTCTATTGCTTTGTATTCCTCTGAGCTCCACACGTCTGAAGTTGACAGGGTGAGGAGGGGTGAGGAGGGGTTGGCAGGAGTGGGGAGGGATGAGGACGGGTGGGGATCAAACATTGTCCAGCTTGCACCGGCGCACGCCCAGTGCCCGCAGCCCCTTGCGTTGTGGTTCCAAGCTCCAAAGGTCTGATGATGTAAGGGAGGTGGGAAGCAGTGGGGAGGGAGGGGTGGGGAGGGATGCAGAGTACACTGGTGAACCCACAGTATCGGCTTTAGTCATCCCAGCTCCACAGGTCATATAGGATTCAGTCTTGAGAATTCCGCGGCTTTGCTCTGGCAACTCAGCATACTATAGAGTCGTTACCGTGCTGTTACACGGCTGCAAGACCGAACGTAGGTTCCATTGGCTCACCTTAGTTTCTGTTCCTTTGCAGCACCAGCCACTCGATCAGGTTTTGAGACATATTCAAACAAGAAAAACTCTCTTGAGACTTCTCAATAGTAGGTTCCATTGGCTCACCTCTGTTTCTGTTCCTTTGCAGCAGCAGCCACACGAGCAGCAGAGCAATGAGAGCTAGGAGCACCACTCCCCCCACCACGATGCCCAAGATTGCAGCAGTCGTCATGCTCCCTCCCCCAGCAGGCGCCACTGGGGGGGTTGGTGGGGGATCTGGGGGATGGAGGAGGGGGGGGGAAGAGGGGGAGGATCAGGGGGCGGATGGGGGGAGGGGGGGTGGGGGTTGAGAGAGCAGAGCAATGAGAGCTAGGAGCACCACTCCTCCCACCACGATGCCCACGATTGCACATGCCCCCTCCCCCAGTAGATGTTACAGGGGGGACGGGAGGGGGAGCTGGGAGTGCAGGTGGGGGGGAGATGAGTGGAAGGGAAAGAAGAAAGAGAAGAGAGTTGAGGGAGCAGAGCAACGAGAATGAGGAGCACTAATCCCCCCACCACGATGCCCACGATCGCAGCAGTGGTCATGCCCCCTCTGCCAGTAGACGTTACAGGTGTCAACGGGAGCGTTGTAAGGCCCCGTCCTCGCTTGGGCGGAGCCAACCTTGTGGTCGGATGTGCGGGGGTTGCAGCCGACATGCAACAGTGGGCACGGGGGCCACTGCAAGGGCGACGAGGACGGCGTCCTGGGAGGCTGGACGCCGAGCTGGGCGTCGTCACGATCACCCGGGCGCCAGGTCGACGTCGTGGGCGTCTGCACGGCGTCCGGGGGTCCGGACGTCGACCTGAGCGTCGGGTCCCGACACCGACCTGGGTGTCTAGTCGGCGTCCTGGGAGGAAGGACGCCGCTCTGGAGGCTTTGGTCGGCGTCCTGGGCGTCTGGACGCCGACCTGGGGGTTCGGAGGGCGTCCTGGGCGTGCCTGGACGCCGGACGGGGGACGCCGGGCATGCGTGGCCGGCTACGGACTGCGTGAGCCAACCAGGCGTGGTTTCCCGGTCGATCGGGATACCCGGGCGATGTGCGCAAGTGTCGCCAGGGTGGAGTCAGCGAGGCCGACCTCGGGGGTGGTATCCCGAGGTCGACGTGGCTGGTGGGCACAGTCGCTGGCGTGGAGTCTGCCAGGCGTCTGCGCTGTGCACGTGACAGGGAAGCGTGCACCAACCAGCTGCACGCACCTGCGAAGCAGGTGCACCGTTGCCCTACGGGTGCAGCGCTGTACAGCCGACTTGCTGCAGCGCTGGCACACCGTGGACTTGCAACGTTGGCGAACCGCTACTCTGCAACGCTGGAGCAGTGCGAGCGCTGCTGCGCTGGAGCACGGTCGACCGTGCTGCGTTGGAGGTTGACCAGCAGCCTAGCTAGCACTGATGTAGTCTGTGATGCCAATGTTGTTGCTATCATTGTTGTCATGTTTTCCTAGTGAAACTCTTGCTAATTTTTCCCGTGAACCAGCAAGAAGTGTGAACACAAGGAAACGACTAAGTGAACGAACGCAGAGATCACTCGAGCACACGTGCCTAGCCCGTAGCCTAGCTCCCGTTGCAGCAGTTATCTCCGCAACAGGGGGGGTTGGTGGCGGAGCTGGGGGTGCAGATGGGGAGATAGACGGGGAGAAAGAAGGGGTTGGGGGGGATAAGGAGAGGAGTGTGCGCATGGAAGGAGAGTGCGCATTGTGAAAATTGAAACGAGAATGATTCAACTATGAAAGAGTTGGGTACAAGTACTAACCCTAATTGGGTTGTACCCCATATGGGCTACCCCACTACAGCCTATACAAATGTATAAGCTATATGTTCTGACACACCACCATAGGCAAAGTGGGGGAGAACAAGGGGTCACAAGACCAGCCAAGCAAAGCAAGCCCAGGGTGGATCACAAAGTCACCACACATTCCGAGCACAAGTTCAAGGCCATAAGGCCAGTTCACATGCAGGATTACATATATATATAAGGCTAGACAAGCAAGAGCAGGTATATATATATATTTAACAGTACAAACAAGGTCAAGGGGTGAGCAAGTGAGGCAAGACAGGCACAAGACCCAGCTGAGTGCAAAAGCGCTGATGATCACAAGACGCAAGTGCCTTGGTGAAAACATCAGCATTGTTGGCCTCAGAGGCCACGTACGCAAGCTGCAACTGACCACGCTGCTGTAGCTCACGAGCAAGGAAGTAGCGGAGAGCAATGTGCTTTGTTCTGTGCTCCAGTCTCTCCTCTCAACACAAGGCCAGCATGGCCTTGTTGTCTACGTACAGGACTGGAGGAGAACGAGGCGGCTCTCCAAGGTCGGTCAGCAGGTAGGTGAGCCAGCGAAGCTCCTGTGCAGCCATGCCCCCGGCGTAGATCTCAGCCTCACAACTGGAGCCGAGAACAGAAGACGAGCGAGTAGCCCGCCACGAAACAGAGCCGGAACCAAGGCTGAAGGTGTAACCCTGGGACGACCGCTGCGTAGCCTGGTCGTCAGCCCAAGAAGCGTCTGCGTGCCCAGTGAGGACCACTGGACTCCGCCCTCCAAGCACTAGCCCCATGCCCGACGTACTGCACAAGTAGCGCAACACCCTCTTCGCTGCAGCCATGTGCTCTGGTCGGTGTCTCCCAGGAGCAACATAGCGTGCAAGAATGCTAAGAGGGTATGCAAGGTCAGGTCGTGTGCAGGTCATCAGGTACATGAGGCAGCCAACAAGCTCTGGATATGGGCCACTCGACTCTACGGACTCATCCGAAGGTAGAGCTGAGAGTGAGTGGCGAGTAGGCAGAGGAGTGGCCTGAGGCGAGGAGTACGTGAAGCCGAAGCGCTGAAGGACCTGCTGCACCATGTGTGACTGAGTCAGGGTAATGGTGCGGCGTGCTCTGTCCCGGGTGATCTGCAAGCCAAGGTAGCTGCGCAGTTCACCCAGGTCAGTGCACGTGTGTCTCTTTTGCAGCTCAGACTTCACGTGGGCGAGTCCAGCAGTGTCAGCTGTGGCAAAGACCAAGTCGTCGACGTACACGAGGATGTAGAACGGCGGCAGAGAGGTGTCGGTGCGCAGAAACAGTGACGTGTCGGCAGTAGAAGGAGCAAACCCAAGAGCCGCAAGCGTAGTCCTCAGTGTGTCGTGCCACTCACGTGGCGCCTGGCGGACACCGTAGACTGGACGCCGGAGACTCCACTGGGTACCAGGAGGGAAAGACCCAGTGAAGCCAGGTGGGCGGCGCAGCCAGATCTCCTCGTGCACGCTGCCCTGCAAGAAAGCAGTGCTGAAGTCGAGAGAGTGCAACTCGTAGTCACGGTGAGCAGCAACGTGCAGCAGTACCCGAAGAGTGGTCATCTTCGGGGTGGGGGAGAAGGTCTGAAAGTAGTCAACTCCCTGCCGGTGACTGAAGCCACGAGCCACGTAACGCGCCTTGAAGACAGGCGGAGAACTCGGCGGCCGCTTCACCCTGGAAATCCACATGCCACTGACAATGTTCGCCCCAGGAGGGGGGATAGCGTCAACGTAGGTGCCTGTGGACTTCCAGGAAGCCATCTCTGCATCCATAGCTGCCTGCCACTAAGAGGAGTAGGGACCCTCTATCGCCTCCGCGTAAGAGCGCGGAGTCGGGATGTCAAGTGCATCCGGGTCTCCCTCAGAGGTAAGCAGTACGGACACGAGATGAGGTGAAGCAGCTGCTAGACACTGGAACTCCTCCTGCCTGTCCTCAAGGACGTCCGTGCCAAGGGCACACTCACCCCCGACGGACGGAGGACAGACAGACTCAGACTCAGCGACAAGACTAGCAGCGTAGTCTAGGCGACAGCGAGCAGCAAAGTCGACGAGCTCAGCAACTAGGGCAGACGCAGCAGTGGACTCGAAAGAAGGGTCAGTGACGACAGTAGCCAGGAGACTTGTGACAGTAGGACTGGCAGCACGAAGAGAGTCCGACTCCGGGTCGGCAAGAGCAGGAAGAGAGGACTCAGGAGGAGAAGGCAAAGGGGCACGCAGAAGAGAAGTGGACGGACGCAGAGACATCCTGTGCGTGCCAGGGACAGGAGGAGGACGCGGACGCGAACCACGACCACTAGCGCGAGCAGCACGGACAGGCGACGTAGGGCGAGACGCAGGCTCACGACGCTCAGCAGGACCCCCAGTAGGACTAGTGTAGGGAGAAGGAGCAGGCAAAGGGGAGGTAGGCTGCAACTGTAACTGTGACGGGACAGGCTGTGGACACTCTAAGGGAGGAGGAGGACCAGTAGAAGGTGGAAGACCAAGAACCTGCTGCAGGAGTGGAACGAAGTACGGTCGAGGCCGCGTGGCGACGCGAGAAACAGCAGGGACAGCACTAGTACCTCCAGCAGGAGCACCCGCTCCAGCA